ATTCTGGAACAGTGTTGTAAATACAACTTAACCACTGATTTGTAGTCGTGTCCTCTTTTGGAAGACCAAAAAAAATAGTTTCGCCTTCACAACGAAAAACACGGCGGCCTAGCTTGAGGGGAAGCCCTGGCTTAGCGTGAGCTGAGGCCGGGCTAGAGTGAGCTGAGGCGGCGGGGTCTAACACTTATAGTTCTTTTGATTTTGGATTTAAATATGACCTGGGCCCATACATAACAGGTTCTATGAGTTTCCCATAGTCCCACTGGCTTTGCTCAGTGCTGGAATGTGTGTGACCTGCGATGTTTTAACAGGCTGTTTCTTACGGATGCCATGATGACATTAAAAATGTTTGAGTTGAAAAGCAGGTATCTTCTGACAGACGGGTGGTCCAGCGCTAAACGAAGTGGACCCTCAAAGTCTTCTGCTGGAATCTGAAATTGATTGAACATCAAAATATAACGTGGGAGTAAAATGTTGGTTCATTTTAGAAATCCGTAGAAATGATGCTGAAAATGTACTAGCCTGGAAGCCTTTGGTTTCCAGAAGAGTCCTGCAGTGTGAGAAGTCAAACGTTGGAGTGATCCATGTGGATGTGGACACAGACGCCACACACTGACCTGACAGAAAGACACCAGCTGAGGTCAGTTAAACAGTTTAAAACCCAAATCCCATCTTTAATAGGCTCTTGTTGTCAGGGAGAATTTAAGATGGATTAAGCCTATTAAGAATTAAAAATTAAAGTAATGCATTTTAAAGAATTGGCCTTAAAGAAGATCTGCAGTATGACATGTTATGAAAGAGTCATTACAAGCATTTAATTCAGTACCATTGTGTCCTTCAGGGCAATAAACCAGGGCAGTAAAAATCACACTGCAGTCACATTGCCACTCAGTGTTTGATGATTTCGGTTAGCTGGTTTGTTATTAATGCTGAAATGGAGACAGAAACGGGGCAATATGTACCATTCCTCCATGTGGACGCTGTGCCTGGTTCTCCTGCCGTGACTGACTGTCCTGTGGGGGATTCAACATCACCTCTTTCCTCTCCATTACACTGCCGCTCCCTCTCCTCCATGGTGACAGAACCTGCTGGAAAACACAAGCACCCAAATATTACCAGACGCTGCCACTGCAACTGCAGTTTGAGTTACATATCAAAGACAAATATGAACAAACTATTCAAAATGAATGCTCAAGGCAAAAAAGGGCAAATAGATATCACTATATTAATCAAGACAATTGTTTTTTATTACAAGTTTCTGGAATGTTATGTTTAAATATGCAAATGAGGCATTATCTAATTGAAAATGCACTAATTTGAATACATTTCAAGAATATAAATCTCAAGCCACATTCAAAACTTTTGTTTCATTTTGTTGACATACATTTTTTTTTTTACATAGGGGATTTTGGATTTCTGTTTTCATTACTCCATAAATCAGAAAATACTGTCAACAACAACAACAACACACATACATTGGGCAAAATAGCCCAAAATCTTCAAAAAAAAAAAAATAATGAAAAAGGTTTTTTTTTTTTCCTATAGTGTCTTGCCATAAGGACAAATACAGTGGCAAAGCAGCCTGTATTTTTTTCAATTAAAAACAAAACAGCAAAAAAACAACATAAGCCTTAAAGCTTAGGAAAGTACGGAGCCCAACACATGATATGCAGGAATAAAATACATTTTGTGGCCACAAATTAAGACTATGTTTCCACAACTTATTCATTAGTTCCCTCATTTTAGTTAAATTATCGCCACGGTTGATTAATTTGTTACTTTGTTTTAGGTACACCATGGCTGCATTGGTTTTCTCATTTTAATTAAGTCAAATTGTGGCTACAGTTTCCCTAAAACGAGTAAATAAATGTAATTGGAACAAATTCTTAAAGTCACAATGACAACAGATCTTTTCTTCCATACTGTAACGTAACAGATTATTCAAAATGTAAAAATGTAGGGCGGGACTTATTCTGTGCATCAGTTGTTGAATGGATGATGAGATGTGGGTGTCACTCAAAAGTGGAGGCAGATGAAGGTGATCTTGCGGGTTTAAATGGACTAAATGATTGGAGAAGTCCTGCATACGTCACCTGAAGAAGTCTGCTATTTCATCAGAAGATCCAGTTATAATATGCACTATAACATGGAATTTAGTAACTAGAAAGGGTGAATTTTAATTTCATGTAAACTTTAATTTATGGCCACAATATATTGCCTCAACAAGCACCACAAACTAATGATGTCTAGGAAGGTCAAGACGTAATGTAACATGTATAATATTCATAATATAATTCCATAATTCTAAAGAACATATGTCATTCAAATAAGATCTCTCACTCAGAAAGGAAACTCGGACGAAGGCTTCAAACTTCAAACAACCCTTACGAAAAAGAAGTTTATTCAAGTGTGCTATTAGTATACTTCTTTTAAACTAAAAATAGGTAAAGTATGATGCAAAGTTCACTTAAAGAAAACTTACGAGTATACGTGCAGTATAAAACCACTAAACTAGTACTTTACTGAGACTATACTTCAAAGTGTACTAAAAATGCTACTACAAGTATTTCATTAGTAAACTATCAGTATACCTATAAGTTCACTTTTAGTATAGTTGCAGTGCAAGCTTAAAATATTGATGTAAACTAGTTGTGTACTCAAAGTTTACTAGTTATACTTAAAGTATACTTTTATATACTAGAAAGTGGGCCAATTTAGTCCAAGGAGTATTGAAATAGTACACTTACAAGTGTACTACTAGTACACTGATATTTGTATACTTACTACATAAAGTATACTTAAAATATACTTGAACTTTACTTAAGTATACTTAATAAAATAAACTTGAAGTATACTACTTTTTGGTAAGGGAAGCCAAAAAAAATAAATAAAAAAGAGCATGATGGCAAACCTTTGGTCAGGGCCCAGCTTGTCTCAAGTCGATGCTTTCGGCCTGTTTAAGAACAGGAAACACAACACTTGCAGTCAACTTCTCTTTTTAGAGTTTCGTATACAAGAAAGTAAGGAAGATGTTAGGTTTCTCAACAATAAAGAAACAGACAGCATTTCTTAACCTTTTTTCAAAATTCTGTATGTTCTTCTGAGTTATTGTAAGAGGCTGCAAGCAGTGTTTTTACATAATATGCATGAATATGCATTAACCTTTGCATATATTATAGAGAAAATGCTTTTAATGTGTCACCATTGTGACCCAGGGAACTCAAATCATGGTGGTTTTACAGCCATTTCAACAAACCTGTAAGCACAGCAACTGACACGATAGCATTCACAGCTGACTCCACTGCTGCCTGCAAGCTGAAGAAAATGATAGACACATAGATATTATACAGCATGTGTCTATGAAAATGATCCCTCCATCTCATTCTCACTCACCTTTGCTAGTTTCTGAATACAGCAAACATGTTTAACTGCTGAAGAACAGAGTGTGAATGTGACAGCAAATCCATCTCTTCATTTCTCTCATTGTGTCTGCCTCAGTTTCTTCTCAGTCATGCCTGCTGTTGCCACAACCTTCGCTCCTTTTTTTTCTTGTTAGGCCCCTCCCACTGTTTTAACTGTCATTTATTTATCTCTTTATATTTGCTTTGTCTTTCTCCTTTTTTCCCATCAGGCTCCTCTCGTGGTCTCGTAAGCTCTCTCTTTCTCTTTCACTCCCTGTGAGTGTGTCTTCCTCCTTTATGTGAATGCAAAACTGATTTGAAACCCTCCCCCTCGTGCTCTTCCTCTATCTCTTTATTTTGTGTCGTTTCTTTTTCTCTCAGCTTGTGACTCAGCTCAGTCTGAACACATGACTGCAGGAATATACACACACAATTTCACAGACCCATGGCGAAATATGTGTGTGCTTGAGCCCAGGAAAGAGAAAGAGACAGGAGATAATAATGTTATGGTCTTTCTAAGTGTATTTACTGTTGCCAAAAACTGGTGCTGGTCATTGAGTTTGTAGAAAATAAACAAAACGGGTTTTGAGTCAAAAGTCCAGCCGCACTGTTCTCTAGGAGTGGCTTAGTGTGTTGGTTTTATACACCTGGTAGTTGCGTTAAATTGGGATTTTTTTGGGTGAATTCTGTCCTCCCAACTAAAATGTCAATTTCATCATATTTTTATAATGTCTGTCGGATTTTTGATTTTTATTTTTTGGCTAAGGCTTTAAGGCCAGGGAAAAAATAATGTAAAAATAAAAAAATAAATAATAATAAATAAAATTGGCCGTACACTCATATACTGTATGGCAATACATATAGTGTATTTAGTAAAATAACATCTGTTTTGTCACGCTGTTTGTCAGGATGTACTTTTATTCAGTAACAAAAATCATAATCTTACAGATAGCTTCCCAAAGGCTAAAGAGGTTCTGTTTAAAATTATGAAAGACATTTATGTGTGTAATAACTGCACCTTTTGTGAAATGGACAGAGTTATCTTCCCTCATAATTCATCTAGCAAATAGTGAACAGAATTAGTCTCTGCTGCTATAATCCAGCACACTTAGAAGATACTACATCAGTCATAGGTTTAGAGCTCCATATGAACACATACAGTACTGATTAATCAACTTTAATCAAGTAAAATATGATCATAGACTCTGATGCAGACAACTCTTGGCACTGGACTGAACACCTGTGCCCATAGACATATGTCTATGCCTGGCTGCTCACTCACTGACTCCACCTGCTGGAAATAAAAGTGACCACAAGAGTACACAAGAACACTTGGACTTAATTTATACTCCAAAATGTCTCAGAAACGCAATTTGTAAGTGTTTTTTTTTTCTTTTTTCTATTAGGATAATTAATGTAGAATTAAAAATTCTATTAATGTAGACATTGTTCCGTAAAAAATATTACATATAATCTTATATAATGCATTACTGCACCTCTAAAGACCCCTCTGTCAAGCTCCTGAAGTATGCAGATGACACTACAGTCATCGGTCTCATCAAGGATGGAGACGAGTCTGCTTACAGACAGGAGGTTAAAGAGCTGACTGTCTGGTGCAGTCTTGACAACTTGGAGCTGAACACCCTCAAAACAGTGGAGATGATCGTGGACTTCAGGAGGAACCCCCCTGCACTCCTCCCACTCACCATCATGGACAGCACTGTGACTGCAGTGGAGTCATTCAGGTTCCTGCGCACCACCATCTCTCAGGACCTGAAGTGGGACACTCACATTGACTCCACTGTTAAAAAGGCCCAGCAGAGGTTGTACTTCCTTCGCCAGCTGAGGAAATTCAACCTGCCACAGGAGCTGCTGAAACAGTTCTACTCAGCCGTCATCGAGTCTGTTCTGTGCACTTCAATAACTGTCTGGTTTGGTTCAGCTACAAAATCAGACATCAGAAGACTACAGAGAACGGGTCGGACTGCTGAAAGGATTATTGGTGCCCCCCTGCCTACCCTCCAAGAACTGTATACATCCAGAGTGAGGAAAAGGGCTCAGAAAATCACTCTGGATCCATCACATCCAAGCCATCTCCTTTTTGAACTTTTGCCATCTGGTCGGCGTTACAGAGCACCGAATACCAGGACAGCCAGGCACAAGAACAGTTTCTTTCCCCAGGCAATCTACCTCATGAACAGTTAATGTTCTCCCATTGTGCAATTAAAGTACAGTATGTGCAATAACCTTATACTTATTTATCACCCTAAACCCTAGTACATCCCTACAACTTAATTTATTTTATTCTATTCCTATTCCATCTATAGCACACCTGTACATACAATTTATTCTTTTTTTTTTTTGTGGTTCTATTTATGCATGTGTATTTTATTCACATCTCATTTTTATTATCTGTGTGTTGTTGTTGTCTCCGTGTACTGGAAGCTTGTGACACTATAACAAATTCCTTGTATGTGCAAACATACTTGGCAATAAAGCTCTTTCTGATTCTTCTGATTCTGGTTGTAGCCTATTATAAATATAGTATAGGCTGTATAAATATACAAAAATTAAAAATAAAAACCAAACGAGTCTACAAAGATCATGCCATGACATTTAAAACAATAAAAATAAAATAACACATTTCCCACTTCCGCACTATTTTTTTCTTGCATGTGACTCTGACGTCACGCGGTGGCGGTCACGTGACTGTCTGGTTAAGGATGTGAGTCGTGTGTTGGTGCCATGTAGATTCGTCAGGATTCACAAGTCTTATTAAAGGAAATAAATACCTTAATCAAGAAACTGTCGCTTCTTGTTTGCTTGTTGCAGTCATATCTGCGCTGTTGTCGCTGTCTTTTGTTATTTCAATGGATTTTATTCGACAGTTTGGAGTTGTACTTGTAATCGCGGTGCTGTCCGGCGCGCGTGCAGCAGAGCTTCAGGTAAATACCATGAATTCTGTCACATGATATTGTCCTGTTCTGTCCTCAAAGTGCAATTGTTTGTTATTAGTGCTTTTAAATACATGCTGGTACTGTGTTTGACTGTAACATGTATATGCGGAATGAAGTGTGTAATTGAACTAAAGTTTTATGATGCAAGTGATGCCTCACTTCTAGTATTTTGTGGGTTTTCACCAAAAGAATACAGTGCACTGACTTGACCTGTTGTGCTAGTTAACAGGTCTTATTAAAAATCATTATATTTACGTATTTACATCTTCCCTTGCTTTTTTGTGTTTTTATACCCCAGTGAAAAGTACATTTCAAACAATCAGTCACATGCACATTAACCTGTACCAGCTAAGATTATTTGTCATGTACGCTTTCTTACAGAGATACTGCGAAAGAACCAGTAAAGTAGTCTATTTTATAGGGTTTATTTCATTAATTTATCCATGCTCATATATTATTTTTATTATTTGTTTAATCATATTTATCATCATATTACTGTTAAATGCTTTTCTTTTGTCCTAGAATAATTACCGATTAAACGTGTTGACGCATAGTTTTGTCATGTGATTGTCATATGGAGGAAATTGTAAAGATCTCTCATAAGTCAATCCTTTGTTTTACTGTTGTAATTCCCCACAGATTGACCCGCTGATATACGAGGAGCAGTTGCTATGGGTCGGCGGTGGAGCCGGTCAGGTCAGCACTTACAGGATCCCTCTGCTAACCTTCACGACGCGCGGAAGTCTGCTGGCGTTCTCTGAGGCCAGGAAAATGTCTTCCGGTGACATCGGCGCAAAGTTCATCGCACTGAGATGCTCCACAGACAAAGGTGGGCCATCCACCTTCACTTCAGTCATAAATGGCTACTTTAGATGAAACTGACTTGCGATCTCTTTCGTGAATCTCTCAGGAGCCACCTGGTCTCCCACCTCATTCATAGTGGATGATGGTGCTCTAGCAGATGGGTTGAATCTAGGTTCGGTTGTTGTGGATGAAGAGACTGGTGCTGTGATACTCATCTACTCGTTGTGTTTCCACCGTTACCACTGCGACCCCTCCAGCACCATGATGGTGCAGAGCTTGGATGACGGGTTCACCTGGAGCGCCCCACGAAACCTCTCCGTTGAGCTGGGGGTGAAGAGCTTTGCTCCAGGGCCTGGCTTCGGCATACAGGTGTGGTTAGCGTTGTCTCCTTTCTGTTCCTCCTTCAGGGGAAAACTAAAGCATGGTTTATGACTTCCTGTTGTTTATGATGCTGTTGTGACTTCTTGGGTTATATAAAACTACATTTTATTGTCTATGTGGTTAAGTGTTGGTTTATAAAGGAGAACAAAAAAGCTGACATGGTACTTTTCCAATCCTTTTCATGTGCTTTTGGTCCATCATATGCCTGTGTTCACAGAAACGGTATGCTCCCAATGTGGGCCGTCTGGTGGTGTGCGGCCACGGATCCATCGCTGGTGATGGGGTCTTCTGCATCCTGAGTGATGATCATGGTAAATCCTGGAGATATGGAGCTGCCCTGAAGAGCATCCCGTACAACCAGCCTAAACAAGACCTGGACTTCGACCCAGACGAGTGTCAGGTAATATTAAACAACTCGATACACAGTGTGTATCTATACTGAAGTAGTCAACATTTGAAGTGGATGAAAAAAAGTTTATCATAGTATTTCTAAGACAAGATTGGTTTTGGTTTTAGGACAACTTTGATGAAAGGTTTTGATCCACTTCAAATGTTGACTAGTGTATATAATAATTAGTGGGTTTAATTGAATGTGGCCATTGCAGTGCTTTGAGTCATTTCTTGCATGTTAAGAAATACAGTATGTCAGACTTTCTGCTACTGAGTGGCTCTTTGTGAGCCTTTGAAGCCCTGTAAGTCAGTGGTTCTTAAGCATGTTTTTACAGTGTAGGCTTGATATTAAACAACTTGCGTCTAATTCACTTTCTATTTGACTTGACACACTCTCTCACATGCTTAACAGCCAGTGGAACTCGAGGACGGGAGTATAGTCATCAATGTGCGCAACCAGAACAACTACCACTGCCGCTGTCGAATAATAGTGCGGAGTTTGGACGGAGGTGAGACTCTTCCTGTGGAGGAGCTGGTGTTTGACAAAACACTGATCGACCCCGCCGTCGCAGCCGGAGCCCTGCAGAAACAAGGAGTCATGTACTTCACCAACCCCTCCAGCACTCAGCACAGTGAGGAAGAGCAATTCACAAAGCATTACTCAGAAATATCACAGTGAAAGCTTCATGGAAGATTAAATGTTTTTCGCTTGCACAGGGGTCAACCTAACTCTTCGCTGGTCCTTCACTGATGGGAAGTCATGGGAAAAGGAGGCAGTCCAGATCTGGGCGGGGCCAAGTGGTTATTCGTCTATGACATCACTCAAGGGAGATTCTCCAGAGGACAGCAAATACATTTATGTAATTTACGAAAAGGGCCATAAAGATTACTGTGAGACCATCTCTTTTGTCAAAATCCATCTATACGGAGGGAAATAA